ATAGATAGATAGATAGATAGATAACCAAAATCCTGGTTGACACTGCAGATCAAAGATTTGGGATAAGAATGTGAGATATTCTACCAATTTACCACTTGGCTTCATTTGCTACAAAACCTCAAATAAATCAACCTAATTCGCCATCTATCACTCATCACAATAAAATGAATATTGTTCAAAGCAAAAGCTACGTAATGTACGTCGAACCACGTTATTCAGATAAGTATTGCAATTTGAGTGTCTATTTCATCCCTCAAGCAAGTGGATAACAAAAGGCAGATAAATCACACGGGCAAGGTCTATCAGAATCTAGAAAAGAACGACTGAAAAACCATAATCTTCTAAAATATGAATAAGGATATCTTCCAGAGGTCAAGTGTGCTGAACATACAGAAACTGTCTCAATTCGTATTATGCTTCACAAATCCGAATATTATTTCATTCATCGAAGCCTACACCACAGCTATCCACATTGGGAATTAATGTGTTACCAAGTCAAATACCAGAGTGCTGTTGGTATAAACCCAGATAGCGGGTTCTGATGGATATCGGGTTCACTCCTTTTGTTTTTGCGCACCAGATGGATTCCATACTTAAAGAGACAAGTATAGCAACTTTCTTGGGAATTTGATTACGCCGATAACGATTATATTAGGAATAAATGATTACCAGTGATTGCTAAATTGCGCACAAACAACGCCCATCAAGCTCACAGCGTATACAAAGTAACAATGTGTACGGTGGTCAATGACTGAGAAGGGAAAAAGAAAATGAATCGGTATGGTCGACATCCAGAATGCACAGTTTTACCATGCATATACAGCTCTTCAGGCATTCTGGTCTGATAACAAAGGACAACAGCAATGTCATGTCCTTCGATGATTCCAACCACCGAGTTACAATATACTGGACCCAAACGTGGAAGACGGGAAACACTTGCCCCATTTAACCCAAGTGTGCGTTTCTTCATACCCCGTCTGCACGTCATCTTCTGATCTCCACGCGGTTCGCTCCACCCTGGAGTAGCAACCGAAAAAAGGGGTGCGATGGACGACTGTTTGGCACCTACAATAGATACTCCAAACAGCATAGCCTATTCATCCGAGTTCATTGTGACAACAAACTTTCAAGTGCTGACCTAAATAACTTTTAATTTCAATAGATATCTCTTTCAACTGACTCAAAGAAAGCAAACTGACAACAGTGGATTATGAAGTTTCATTTCTGATGCGGAATAAACACAGGCGTGTTTTGACAAACTCTACTGACCAATTTGGTTCAAACCGATAAAACATTGGACAAAACTCAAACGCGGTCGGTAGGCTGCCAAAAACAGTTCAGAAATACTATACAGACCAAAATTTGTCAGGATATGAGGGTTGCAAAAGTACTATAGAACACATACCTGAGTTCCTCTATTTCTTTTTTCAACAAAGCATTGTTCTCCTCCAGGTGACGCAATGCGACAGAACTTTGTTCTTTCTCGGTACCCAATTGTCGACGATATTTCTTTTGTAGGAGTTCATAACTGCGCCGCATTCTATCCACCTTGGTTTTGATCGCATTTAGCTCTGCTTCAGCACTTCCCTCAGGAAATGTGTGCTTTTTTGAGTTTATTTTAGAGGCGGCCTCTTTCAGCTGAATTCGCGTGGAATGTGAGGATAAAAGACACACATACCTCGATCTCTTTGGCTGAGATCAAACTCTGTAACTCTTGGTTTTCGCGGATCTTTTGTTGGAGCTTCTTTTCCAAATTTTGTAGTTCTGCCTCCCATTCGACCTTTTTCCTCTCGATCAGTTTGTCAATTTCGACCAGTAGATCCTGCAGTTCGCCCTCAAACTCCGGTAAATGTGGCACGAGGAATCCGAAGTTCTTCAGCCTGAGAGAGGTATCGTTCATTTTATCACCATCAACTTACTGCGCAACCGCAAAACGGCTCTTCTGCATTGCTCGATTGCCTGTTAATTAGTCTTTGTGTTCGAACGACAGGGATACAAGGGAGAAAAATAGACATTACTATACTGGACAATGAGGGAAAACTGAAGAAAATATACGGGGGCTATAATGACTATCGCGTACATAGTACGCAAGTCACAGGGACGGTCTGATTGCAGAGAAGAAATGTCAAAAACAATAATGAAATAGGGAGGCACTGTGTGACCAACGAGCAACGATAGCTAAACTGTGTCTATCATTAAAACCAAAGAAAGAGAAAAAGTATCAACGTTGACAGTACCACGAAAAAGAACAGCTGTTATTAAGGTTTATTCCAAATGTTTTCCAAAGTTCTTCCAGTGTGATTCTTTTTTTACACTATTATACCACACTATATTGGTGTTTTTTTTAAGTATAAGTTGACTAGTGTACAGCCTCTTTTTAGTTCCTACTTCAATGGCACCACCTTACATTCATCTGAAATATTTACTGCAAGAATTAAAAACGAGAGTTAGCGGCTAAAACATCAAATCTACTCGGTTGTCCAAATCGGCAGCCTCAAGACAGTAATCAAAACCACCGCAAGAAAGTGTGTAGTTAATTGCTGAAAACTGGCACTGGTTGCTTCGTTTCCCTTCAATCAAACAGGTCTACTCTCAGTTCTTCTGACACACTAGCGTTCACTTTGCACATATTGAGTATATATATATATATATATCGGCGGCTTTTGGACAGGCATGGTACAAGCCTAACAAAAACAATACCATAAGTTGAAATGTTTTTCATAATCATTATTGGTCTAAATAAGTGGTCATTGCGTCTAATTTATCATGGAATACTCAAATAAGGATCATATCGTCTGTAAATCACAGTTTTTTACTCATTGTCCGACTGTTTGTTACATTACTACTACTTCTACTACTACTGCCACTACTACCATTGCTACAAAAATATATTAAATACCAGTTTGTAACAGGCAAATCGTACTGACGTGTCTTGTTAAACAGCGGATAAAGAAACTGTGCTATTTCATTCGGTTCTATCGTACAGCGAAACACAGTAAATCGTGCTTTGATTACCCCAACCCGCTCGCTTTGGGAATAAATGTAGTACCTAGTCCTCCAAAACCCAAACATGATTATTCCCAAATGATGGAGATGAACCGTTCCGAGGGAACAGAGTTCTTGACCCAAAATGCGCCGATGTTATCGCTTTTCGAGGAGCATTTCATTCTCAGATTGGAACAAATGGGAGATCGGAATTAGGAAGGGACATGGAGAAAGTGCTTACATGGGCAAGTACATGAGACATATCATCGCCAGGGAACGAGTCACGTCTTGATCGTGAGAGATGAACGACTTATAATCATAGAAACCCTTAATTTAGTTTCATCGAATGCAGCGAACACTCAGGATCTGGCACTCACAATAGCAGAGAACTACAAATGGTCCGATTATTGTGTGGTTGCAGCGCACGCAGCCATAATGAAACTCTCTTGATTGATATCCACGCTGTTGTGCAGGAAGCCAGGAGTGTTTGTACCTCTGTACAAAGCCATAGTGCAGCGGCATCTTAAGTGTTGCACATGGACCTGTGATACCTTCTTAAAAAATGATTTAGGTCTGATTTGAGGGAGTCCAAAGGTTAGCCGTGAGAGTGGTCAATGGACAATGAAGAAAACCATTCAGAGAGAGGCCAAAGATCCCCTTTCTAAAGAGAAGAAAACTCTAAGGGGACTTGATGGAAACATTTGACATAAATATTCTGTTATCTGGGTAGAACTGGACAAACATGAAGAGGCACATCTGAAAGCTAAAGGAAGAAAACATGCACAAGACTAGTCATGCGATAAAACGTCTTACAAATTGTTTTTTGACTCGCTGCCCCTTCGCTTCATAAACTCTCTCCCGGCTGGATTCATCCATAAATTCTCCCTGTTAGTTCACTTTTATTTTCACACTGGCCTCCCGCGCTGCGCGCAAAATTGGTTTCCTATTCCGCGCAAAGCGCTTCTTTACATGCAACCACCTTTTAAACAAAGTTGAAATCGGCCCGCTGCTCGAACACTCAGTTACGCATGGGATGGAGCTTAGTATTCCGCTCTTTCTCTCCTCGACCGTGTTCAACGTAAGGCCATTCGGTTGATTGACGAACCTTCTTTACCTTCCAATCTGAAGTCGTTTTTCCCACCGCTGGGTAGTTGTTTCGCTATCCCTTTTCTATCGTTACTATTTTCGCCTCTGTTCTTCCGAACCCGCCTCAGTAGTTCTCCTCCCATTGACCTTTTCTCGTCCATTTCGTTCTCAAGCAGCTAGACACCCTTCTTAGGTTTTTGCCCCCAGATGTTTCACTTCTATCTTTCAATCTTCTTTTTTCCCCAGGACTGCCAAATTGAGGAACACTCTTCCCATTTCCTTGTTTCTATAATATCATAATCTTACTCTATTCAAAACCAGGATGAAAAAAATCATTCTCACTTGAATGTTACCCCGCATCCGTTTCAGTGTGTACAAGCATTAATTATGCACTATCGTGCGCCGGTTTGGGTTACTGTCTTTTGACTGCCCATTTGGATGAAGAATAGGAGAAACACAGGAAAGTTGAAAGCAGAGTCGAACATCCTTCAAACTGCTGCCCGCTGTTACAAGGAGTAACAAGATGAAAGTTACATTAAGTGCTATAAACCTTTCAGTCATGAGCATATGTACGTCCATATCGAGTAGGGAGATCGTGAGTCTCCAGACTGATTTCGGAATGTGATGTTGAGATCAGCGTCCACTGTTTTTACCAAGTTTTTTCTCTTTCGTTCACAACGGAAGTAATACATCCATGCATGAGCCAACCAGTTGGTTTATCATATGTTTTATCTTATTTTTTATTAGAAAATTGTTTGACGGCGTAAACGTATGATCTGTATTTTTATTTAGGTTCCTTGAAGTTCAGTTAAGAGAAAAATAAATTATTACCAATCAGATTCACTTTCTGTGAAAAGAGCAATAACTGAAAACATGGCAAGAGGCCAAACACGGAAGAACAGCATTTAACATTCCCAGCGAGGGAACTTATAAGTAAATGAGAGGGAGGATCGCATCTTATTTCGTTACTCTAAATGGGTGGTGGTGTAGCGATTTCGTCACTGTCACCGGTATCTTTGGACTCTATCGTCCGAGGTTCGATCCTCGCCACCACCACCCAACTTTGTTGTTAGGTAGATTTGCTGTCATCCGGTCGAATACCACGCCTAACCTTACGTGGTTCGCCACTTCAAGTCCCGGGCTCATTAAACAAAAAATCCTTCTGGTCACGGGGTATGATCCGTCTGCTATTCATCACACTAAGATGTGTAATAAAAAAATTATTCTGAATGATAGCATACTCTAAGCTGGAGAAACAGTAAGGATTAGGCTCAAAATCTTAAGCTGCAAACGAAGCATTCAAAACTGGAACTGAGAACCAGGTTCTTCAAGCATCTAGTTGTACAGCTCTGGGATAGACCACCAGAGAATGTTATTGACATTATACTTTGTATATCACTTTACTGACTCATGTCTCATCTCCCTTTTTCAGCTTCCATAAGTCCGCTGCATGTCGAACAAAGCCTAAAGTTTGGGCTTCCTCGTTCTGGTTTCTCGTGCATCCTGCATTAACACTAAAACTTATGCAACATACAGCAATGGATCAGATATTGTGCCTCGAACGGGTCGCTGTTGAACCTAGCTCACCAGATTCCACCAGACAGTGGAACCATTAGTACAGAACATTTTCAGCCTCCTCAAGTCAGCAGATAATTTGAAACCCGACAAACTGGATATGCTGGGTATGCATACATATCTCCTGCTGTTCACGAACATGTCGTGTAATGTGAAACCTATGCCATAGCAATGGAGACGCTTAGTAACCTCTATGTGCACCCAAAAAGTGAGGTCTTCGTCCATCAAGTATTCGTCACAGTCAAACACGACAGTGAGAAAACTAGACTGGTTCGTTCAGAAGTTAATGCCCCTAGCAGGAGATTGCAGTTTCAGGTCCACTACCCCCGAAGGAAAGCCAGACAATGCTCTCCGAGATGCATTTATTAGTGGAATCCAATCTAACCAGATCAGACAACGCCTACTGGTAAATAGTCCACTGAATTTTCCAAAGGCTTTCAACCAAGTGAGAGCCCTAGAAATGGCAGAGCAACAATCCATGTCTTACCAGAACTTTTCCACCGCATCCCATACGGCGATTATACGCGCATTCTCATCCACTCTTTTCTCCCCCCACAAGTCTCTGATAAAGTGCTCTAACGATAGTATCATCACCGTAGTCCACCCAAAGTGCTTTTTTCGTGGCCTCGACAAACACCCTCGCTCAAAGTGCCCCGTAAGAGATAGTCTTTGTAAAGGTTGTGGTAAAAAGGGTCACTTCCAAAGAGTGTCTCTCAAAAAACCAACGAAGTCACACTACATCTGCCGCTGGCCCATCCACAAATACAAATACAAAATACAAATCCACATTCAGTTTTTCAGTTTGAACTACCATTAGCCACGCATATTCGAGCGCCGGTTTTGGTTGCTGTCTTTTGGCTGCCCATTTGGATGAACAATAGGAGAAGAAAGGAAACTTGAAAGTGGAGTCGAAAAGAAAATGGAGAAGCTCAGTAGTCTAAAGTTGCAAACAAATTGAGGAGATGCACGAACGTCACTGTTTACGACACCCAGCCATATCACTCAGTGTCTCTAACCATCGGGTACGATCATCCCGAAGTCCCCAGCCAGGGCGCCTAACAGGACCTATGTGACCCAGTTTCCTGGTTAGGGTTTTCATACCCTCGTGCCAGGTCTTAGCTTGACCACCCTTGGCTTTTTTCCACTCGGTATCTGCTTCGGCGAACATCGCTCGCCGGGGAAACCTATCTGGTGACATGCGTAACACATGTCCCAGCCAACGTAATCTATGGAGGTCGACCACTTGCTCCAGTGGGCGACCGTATTTACCCAAAACTCTGTCCCTAACCTCAGCATTGCTCA